CTATCCTTTCTACCCCACATCTGCGCCATGATCAGCTCTGCCTTCCCCCACCTCCACAACATCGCCCGGCTCCACCACTGTCTCACACCACAGGCTGCTGAAACCCTCGTACATGTCCTCATTACATCGAGGCTCGACTATGCAAACTCACTGCTTGTCGGCCTCCCCAACTCCTCTCTCCATAGGCTGCAGATCATCCAGAACTCTGCAGCCCGTGTCCTCTCCCGTACTAGGCTCCATGACCCGATCACCCCCATCCTCGCCAAACTCCACTGGCTTCCCATCACACAGAGGATACAGTTCAAGATACTGGTCCTCACCTTCAAAGCCCTCTACGGTCTTGCTCCCCCCTACCTCTCCGACCTCCTAACCCCCTACCACCCTGTCCGCTCCCTCAGCTCAGCGGGCTCCGGCTTGCTTCACGTCTCCCGCCTTGCTCGCTCCACTATCAGCGGGCGGGCCTTCCGCCACTCTGCACCCATCCTCTGGAACTCCATCCCGCAGTCCCTCCGTCTCGCCCCCTCCCTCGCCACCTTCAAGACCAACCTCAAGACCCTCCTCTTCGACCATGGTTTCCCCGCTGCCCTCCACCCTCTCCCCCCCCCCCGAACCCCCAGCTCGGGTCCGTAACTCTGTCTGTCCAGGGAAGCCCTTCTAACATGAAAGGCGCTTTACAAATGTAATTTTGTTGTTTTTGTTGTTGTACACAGTTTTTCTCAATTCTCTACTGCTGTGACACCGATGCTCTCCCTTTGAGGCGCAAATCGATTTGTTTGTTTGAACACCATTTTAAACATAAGATTAAGCATTTAAAACATGCTCTCACATACAGAAAAGGGCTGCCACCTACAGTTCCCATCCCAGCCAGAATTCCAGCTCACTTCCCATATGGCTTTACTTCGCTTTCTCATGTCCTGGTCACTATCAATTGGTTCAGCATAACAGTGCAGCTCCTGTGATTCCCTCTCAGTCTCTTCTCCCCACTCAGTTCACCTTTCATCTCCTTCATGCTTCTATCAGGCATTTTGCAGGATGTATTAAACTGTATCTATATTTAATCGTTCAGGTTATACCACAAAGAATTTTTAACTGACATGTGTACAGTATAGCTAAACTTTTAATGACATCTTGAAAAATATGGCCCAAATCGTTTGCAACAGAATATTAATATTAATTCAGTCTTTTTAAAAATGAAATCTATTACAAATATTGAATTTTGGGGGTAATTTGTGTTTGAATTTTCACACAAATCTATATTGTAGAATTTTTTTCTTTAAAATTTGCCTAACATTAACTAGCTGTCTGTCTCGTAGATGTTCAGTGAATCACCAACATCATGTCACCTTGTGCAATCATTAATAATGAAGGCTGAACTCACTGAAAGTACTTCTCTATCGTCTGAGACTTCAAAGACTGCTGCAATATTGTTGATACTTGCAGCACTGTTGGACATAACAAACTAAAAGGGTTTCTCCTCTCCCCTCCCCTTCCTTGCTTACTTTGGCAGCACTTGCTGTAATATTACTACTCACAGGTTGAATTCTGATGCAAGTAACACTTTTATGTCTGACAGAAAACCATAGGTGTCATTTTGGCTCTAGACCAACAACCCACAGCAAGAGTTGACGAAGGTTCAGGAATCTGTGCTGCATGGCAATTGTGGACAGAATAAAATGTGGCACCAGATGGTGAACAAAGGCTATGCTGCGATTGTTCAGTTCAGTGTGCAGATGTTTCACTCACTATTCAGACTCTTGCAAACTCTTAGGTGTGACTTTCACTCCAGATGCCAATTCATTCACTTCATAGTTTGATTATAACCATAGCTATTTCAATTGGTGGACCATGTTACACTATTCCATGTCAAAATCCCCCAAGAATTTAACGCTATATACACAGGACATTTAAAAGGTCTCATGTGCATATAGTAGACTACATCCTTGTAGTGATAGATTTCATGGCATATTGTGTATCTAATAAGATGTTGGTATGTTCAGTATCAACCACTGCGCATATATTGGCTGCAACTTTGATGTACGATGTGGTGGCATGATTTTGACCTGTATCAACTGGCTGCTGGCTACAAAATCATTTGCATGAGGAGAGCAATTGTTTGCAAATCAAATAGTTTTAATTGGAAGTGTCTTTGATCAAAGACGTTTGCAGACCTCTGGCACTAATCATTTTAAAAAAGAGATCCGAAAATAATCAGCTTTCTATTCAAGCAGTAAGTTGATGAATGTAATTCATGGGCAGCGCCTGGAGGTTTCAATTTCTGCACACTGGTACCCTGATTTTGCAACAAATCCTGACTCTTTTAATAATAATAATCCTTGCATTTGATTTAACGCCTTATCACATTGTTCAGTTGTCTCAAAGCGCTTCTCAGAATATATTCCAATACAAATTGACCGTATATTTTGTGAGCGAAACGTGGCAGCCAATTGTGCACAACAGTGTCTCACAAATGGTCATGAATTAAGTGACCAAATTTTTTGTTTTGGAAGGATTATTCCCCTGGAAAGAAAGCAATCTGCCAATCGACTAACAACTGGGTTCCTACTTACTGCCAGATAAGCAGAGGTGTGTGAAGTAAGGAAATGTGCCCAGGGTTTCACCCCACCTGGGAATCGAACCTGGGTTCTCTCGCTTGCGAGGAGAGCCCGCTAACCAATACACTTCAGGAGTCGCAGATCTTTCCCATTACTTGAGCTATTATTTCCATGTGGCAGTAATAGGGTTCTGGGTGGTGTGGCCTACCTCCTGCAAGGGATGCCTCAGGAGGAACTGTTTGCCTACCACAGAGAAGGATTGAGAGGAAACCTGATAGAGGCTTTTAACCACATGGTGTAAAAGGAGCTACATCAAAAATATTTAGCCCATTCTGTCTTTTCTGTATTCCCTTTCCCATGCTATGTGTGCCTGATAACAATTTTGTTGCATTCTCCTGTTTTGTGAGGCTGGACAATAATTGACAGCAGTACCAACAAGATGTGGGTTGCCTCAGCAAGTGGCATAAAAGGATTACTCAGAAACAAGTTTAATATAATATTGTGTATGCAATTATTTGCTCCAGCTTTAAATGTATGAGTTGGCCCCAAACTATGTACTGTTATAATGAATCATCAGTTTGCTACATGTCTCTAAAATGATCACCCATTAAAAAAAAGTTGTGCACTCAGTGTATGAGAAACCTAGTACATGAGATAGGTGTAAAATACGTCAACTTCAACCAGTGTGACCACATCTGCTTTCCATTTATTTCCATTAGATCAAACAACAAATGAGTACATTTATGGTTATCCAGAATCAAACACTTAAGCCCAATAGATTCCAATTAAGCAAGCAGCATCTCAGTGGAGATAAACCAGTTTGGCTCAGTGGTTAGATGATAACAAAATGCTTCATCTGTGGCATGGTAGTGATTAATCAATCAAGACTTTTCCAAGGATTAGGCATGGAAGATAACAGTAGGGGCCTGTGTGCAATGGCAATCTGCAAAGTGAAATTCGCTTGAAGGGCTTTATTTCCCATTCTATCTTTAAATTCTTCCTGCAATTTGGTTTAGAAGTCTATTTTTGCTGCAAATGGAGCAGAGATGTACATACCTTTACGCTTTCTACAGGCTTCCCTGCAGCAAGTTATCGCTATCTCTTGTCTCTTGGAGGAGAGAAAGCCATGGCGCTGAAGGGACAGGATGTGGTGCCCTCTACAGATGCTGAGTTTCACTCTACTCAATGGCTTTATCAACTGAGCTGTCAGGAAAACTAGAAGGATCGTTTCTGATCTTATAAGCCCGACAGTGAGAAAATATAGTACAACTGTAAAAGTGAACTTATCGTTTTACACAAAGTCATCTCTACAGAACAGTTAATTCACTTATTCAAACTCTGAGTCTCTTAAAGACTAAAGAGATCCCAGTGTATTTATTTTCTAACAGAGAACCCAGCTCAGGTAACCAAATACTGCCCTGGATACACTGATATTCATCTAGCCAAAATGATGATTGTTTAATATTTCAGGTTTTAAAACAGGTCAGTGATCAGCCAATATTAGGTAATTTGTGGTGCATTTTGTGTGAATAAGAGATCTCCTTGTTATGGCAGAGCGTTGCCAAAAGAACACCTGCGAAAGAAGATGTTATTAAACTCAGCAGCCAAATGATATCTAATCATACTTCAAACTAATTGCAGGTCTATGAACTCATTTACTGCGAAACGTGATGTACACGTGATGTAGAGGCTTTCACAAAACAACATATAATCCTTACATTTAATGCGCCTTTCACATAGGGACCCCATCTTAAGCACGTCACAGGATTTATTGGAAAATACAGTTACTGTGTATTTTGTGGGTGAATACAGCAGTCAAGTTGTTCACAACAATGTCCCACAAACAGCCAAGAAGTGAATGATCAATTTTATTTGGGGGTTTGTTGGCCAGGACACCAGGAGAAACTCTATTCTCTTTTCAAATATAGAAGCAAAACAAAACAACTGGAAATGTTGCAGTATTTCTAATCCCAACCAATTTCTTAATTAAGCTGCAGACAATAAAACATACAGAAAAATGTGGTTAAAGCTTCTTCTTATAATCTGTGCTTAACAACAACTTCTGGAGAAAGATTTCACTCTCAGACATTGACTTTTAAACAGTACCTTTTTTAACTTAGCAAGGGACCTAAGGAAATCATTCCTGGCAGCTGGAGCAGCTTTTAACTTTAAATTTATTTTTATGGTTTTATCTGGCCGGTAAGTGACACCTTTCATCCCGTTCCCACGCGAGATGGTTTTGCATTTTTTGGTCAGATTCTGATTTAAAAATAACTTAAAAGTTAAAAATTAATTGAGATCTTCTGCTCATATTATTTTTAATATCCACAAACACCAGGATATTCACAAGGAAACAATTAATAAAAACCTGATTCCATTTCATTACAATCTACCCATCTCATACTCATGCTCCGCTCTCTGCGACAAATAGGAAGCACATTTCCTTACCGTTTGCTGGCTTGGGAGGTTGAGAGCATCTTCTATATTCAGAGGTATGGTCTTTACTTTCTTCATTTGCACTAGAATCAATACTTTCTTTAGCTGCTGGAGTCTCTTGGCTAGCAGCCACAACACCTCTGCACAGGGAAACCATGGAAATTGGTCAGTTACCAATAGTCTTACTCATTACACTTGACATCTGTGACATCCTGCAAGAAGTACTTTATTGAGACTTATTATTATTTTGTCTGATTACAAAAAACCTGATGACATCCTGGAACAAGGTTATGCTGGCCAACCACGCCAAAGTCATCTTTACTAAAATAACCTGCTGTTGACTGTTCTATCTGAAAAACACATCATCCTTCCAAAACACCCACCCTACTGTCCTCCTATCATAGCATCAAGCTGCTCAGTGCCCCAGCAACAATCACCCTTCCTGGCAACCTGTTCCAGTCGCTAGTTACCCTCGGATTAAAATTTCCATTTTGGGTTCAGCCGGTTGTCTAACACACCTGGAAAGCTGTCAACATGCTTAAGAGTATCCAAGCCAGTCTGAGATTTCCATTGACTTTGATATTCCATTGCCAGGACCTACACCTTGGAGCCAGCTCAGCCCCAAGAAGACCCCTCCTACCAATATCATAAAAGTGGTCATCTTGAAATCCAGAACCCCTCCTTGCCTGCTTTAATATATTAGACTATTTCAGTCAACTTGTCTTGTGCCTGCATAAACTTTGTTACTACAATGTAAAACGGGAAAACAATGATGTTGTGTTTTACCTTCCTTTTGTGAATGTTTACAAATTTCAGTTTTGTAGTAACACCAAAAATTCTAAAGTATCCAATGGCAGTGACTGAAGAATCATACGGGAAACTGCAATTTTCATTAGAATGTTTAAATTATATAATAACGTGAAGGAAAAATATCTCGGTGTCTTTAATTAGCAGGAAATAATAATGTATTGTGCCATTTGTTTGGTTTTACAGCTATCAGACAGTCATGTGGACATGATGAGAACTAAAGGAAGTCAGTCAGACAGACTCACCCTAGTCACACCCATAATAGTGACCTGCAGGTTTTAAGGTAAACAGGATTAAGACAGGAGCATAAGGATATAGAGGACAAGAAAAGGCCACTGGAGTCAATATCTGCTCCCAAGATATTATTGTGTCCCGGTAATTAAAGATAATTCAGTAGGTTGTTTTATTCTAGTTATGTTTACTTTGCAAAAGACCTTTCCAAAATTTTTTGATGGTTTGCAGCTGTAAAATACTGCTTATTTTTAACTTTACTGTAGGAAATAAGTTCACAATAGGACACAACTATGATAAGACAAACAATACCTGCTTTCACTGCTGGCTTCTGCTTCCTCTTGAGTACATTTTAGTTTTTCTAGCAGGCTTCTAATCTTGGCTTTTTTTTCATTGAGCACCAGAATGAAGCGTGAATAGAGTCCGTGTTCCAATGCCTCTTTATCCTTTACGTGTTTCTCTAACCTGAAATGAATGTTCAGTAACAAGCTGGTGAGTGCTTGCTGTTTATAAAAGGAAATACACATTGGAGATAGTTGTCTGGTAATTAAACTGCTAGTCCTGCACCAACGACTTTAAAACCATTCGTCATTTTACATCATCATCGCACATCACCACCATGGAGGGTACAGACAAACAGTCTTGCAAAAAATCAACAAAAATTACATCAAATGTGAACCTGATTTATTTTAATCAACAACAGATACAAAGCGATTTCAAGGCTGAAATCTAAGCTTACGGTTCAGTAGGAATTTATAAACTGTCTGAGCTTTACTCTCCTGATAAAGAATGCCATTCTGAACCCCTGGATTTGATAACTCGCTCATTTTATTCTACCTCTCAAGGGTCCATTATCCTCTATGTAATCAATACCCATTATACTTGATGATAATGAAGAGTGATAAGGCACAAAAAAGCTTCACTGTTTGAATACAGGAGTCATATTAATGCCTATTTGCAGAGTGGGATGATAGGGCGTCCGTCAACACTGATCCAAATTGCACGTGCAACAATTTATTCTACTTATTTGAAGGTATCGCTGGTTACCCACGGGAATAAGTGCTAACAATGATAACTACTTACCATAGAGCAAGTCTCCAGCATCTGCTACTGATTTCAATGTATACAGTTTCCACTTGATATGGGGAACTGATTTATCAAATACTCAGTGGGCACTTAAAATAAAAGAAATGGCCAGTCTCTAAAGAGACCACAACCATCACCAACACTTCTGTGCTAACAGAGGATTTCCCCTTTCCTCTTTGATCCTGATCCCTACAGTATTCCACTCTACTCAGGTAGCAGGAAACGATGAATACAGGGCTCCAACAGGTCTTGTGACCAGAGATTTTGTCAAAGAAAACTTAAAAAATAAAGTTGGAGAGGTACCCAGTTGGTAAATATTACCATTGCTGAGACATCCTCTATGGTAACCAGCTTCTTTACATTTGTTCATGGAACAGTTGAGCCTCAGGCATTTATTTCACACAGCGATGGCAGGAGTGATGTGAGCTGGCAAACTAGAGCTGTCAATCCTAAGTGAGCTCCCCGTGTACCACTCCCCTCAATTGGATGCTAAACTATAATAATAATAATCCTTGCATTTGATATAGCGCCTTATCACATCGTTGAGATGTCTCAAAGCGCTTCACAGAATATACTGTTAAGTGGATTGACTGTGTATTTTGTGGGAAAATCTCCACACCATTTGTGGCAATTGAATCAATGTAAAATATGTAACATTACATATCTATTGGACAATCACACGTATGAATGAAGTGGCACCTAGGCACTGCATGTTGAGACTCCAAAATGCTGTACAACAATATGTGCTAATAGGTTGTCTTATGTACAAGATTTTCTATCACATTGAACTTCCTGCTTTTGACCATATCAATGTCAAGAGGTTTTAACTGGAGCTCAGACACTTAATAATAATCCTTGCATTTGATATAGCGCTTTTCACGTTTTCTAGATGTCTCAAAGCGCTTCACAGAATATACTGTAAAGTGAATTGACTGTATATTTTATGGGCGAGACGCGGCAGCCAATTGCACACAGCAATGTCCCACAAACAGTCGTGGATTGAAATGACCAATTTATTATTGTTTTTTTTCTTGAGGGATTATTATCAGGCATGTGGAGAAAAGAAACTTGCCCAAGGTTTTGCCCTGCCGGGAATCAAACCCAGATCTCTTGCTTGTGAGGCAAGTGCTCTTACCACTGAGCTACAGGACTCCACTTCAATGTAGGAATGTAGGACATGATGAGAGGAAGAGGCACCCTGGCCATTCACATGTCACTAAGGAGGGCATTGGCAGAGGTCTGAGAGTAGCCCGTAAACACTATGTAAGGATTCCACAGGACAGGGAGAAAATAATCAAAATATTCTTACAATGGTAGTACAAGCACAGTTTTATTGCCCATGACATTAGTGTTAATATAACTGAATGAGACAGGACTATAATAAAACCTTAATGTAATTCTAATTTGCAGCAACAATATAGATAGCCCACCAATGGTTGGTCCTTGTCACAGCTATCGATCCATCTGCAGAAGAGGTATTTGGAAAGACTCAATTTCCGTCCACAATTAATTTTAATTTGACATATTTAAATGATATAGCTAATTGCTATTAAAGAACATATAACGACTATGAACAACAACAACAACAAGATTTCATTTATAGAGCGCCTTTCACGTCGGGAGGACGTCCCAAGGCGCTGGACATTTTGATCGGGACCCGAGCAGGGGGAAATGGTCAGGGTGAGGGGCGGGAAGGGAGGGAGCGAGGAGGGGGTAGAGAGTCGAGAGGGGAGCTGAAGGCACGATCGAAGAGAAAGGTTTTGAGACCGGCCTTGAAAGAGGAAAGGGAGGAAGCAAGGCGAAGGCACTGGGGGATGGAGTTCCAGAGCCTAGGGGCTGAGAGGCTGAAGGCCCGGCTACTGATGGTAGGGCGGTTGGGGCGGGGGATGTGGAGCAGACCGGAGCCAGAGGAACGGAGGGTACGGGCAGGTAAGTAGGGGGATAGTAGGTTAGAGAGGTAGGAGGGTGCAAGGCCATGAATAGCCTTGTAGGTGAGGATGAGGATCTTGAATTCGATCCTCTGGGGGATGGGGAGCCAGTGGAGGCGAGCGAGGGTGGGAGTGATGTGGTCGCGAAGCCTGGTGCGGGACAGTACACGAGCTGCAGAGTTCTGAATGACCTGCAGCTTGTGGAGGGAGGTGCCGGGAAGGTCGACGAGGAGAGAGTTCCCGTAGTCCAGCCTTGAGGTGATAAAGGTGTGGACCGGAGTTTCAGCAGCGTGAGGGGTGAGGTAGTGCCGTAGTCTGGCGATATTCCGGAGGTGATGGAAGGCGGTGCCAGTTGTGGCGCGGATATGAGGAAGAAAGGACAGCTCAGAGCTGTCCTTGAACAAGACAGAACTGGATATAAGGAAATGAAGGGATCTCAGACACATGTTTTATTTAATGCGACTTAAAATCTCTAAATTACAGATCTAGCTGAAAATCAATAAAAACACATCATTAAAACATTCTAACACTAAATCCATCATTAAATACTGCATTAGAAATCTGGTGAAGTACTATTTTAGAATAATAATTAAACGCTTCCCATGTTATTAAAGGAAATATCTTTGAATTCCAAGATTTGCTTAACTGCTTAGTTATACAGAGTTCTTCTTGTGTTGCTTTAACCCTTGGAACTCCAGAAATGAATACACTTATTTGTAAACTGACAGATCATGGGGAACACCAGGAAGTTCCTCTTCCTTTGTGATTGTCTAAAACCCATCTGCTCCCTCTGCTCACAGGCTCCGGCCTGCTTCAGGTCGGCCGACCTGCGCCCCACCATCAGCAGTCAGGCCTTCAGCCTTTCTGCCCCCACTCTCTGGAATTCCACTCCCAAATCCCTTTGCCTTGTCCCTTTCCTTGCTTCCTTTAAAATCCGTCCGATCTTCCTCCTTGACCACGTCTTCGGTCATCTTCCACAACCATAGGCTCACACCCTTCCTAAATCCAATCCCCAGCTCAGCTCCTAACCCTCGACTGCCCATTGCCTTGGACATCCTCCCAATGTGAACAGCACTATATACATGCCATTTGTTGTTGATGAGGTTTATTCCTTCATTGTCAATATACAGTCAATTCACTTTACAGTGTGTTCTGTGAAGCGCTTTGGGACGTCCTCCCGTCGTGAAAAGCGCTATATCAAATGCAAGGATTATAGAGCCCACTACTTATTTCAGATACAAATGTTGGCTTCAGAAATGCACTTTTTCCACCCATGTTGGTGCCTTGTCAATCTTTCATCTTTTCGCTTATCATTAGCTCTCAAAGTCAACTTACAGCCAATAAAAGCATCTGTATAAAAAAGCCTCACCTTCCCTAATGGGAAATGGGAGCTGGAAAGAAAAATAAATTGACTGACAGGTTTTAAAGTTAGTAGCAGATTGAAACAAGATTGAAACAAGATTTGAAGTAGAATAAGTTTAAAAAGAAAATATAAATAACAAAGATAATAAGGAGAAGATAAAATAAAGAACCAAGTTATGACAAAATGAACACAAGATTTATCTGAGTATTTTAAATGTTTTCAAAAGACAGAATACATACTTAATTTTGAAGTTCTTTGAAAAGGATCTAAAAGTTTTCTCACAAATTCCAACTTTTCGGTAAAATATTAAAGCTTTTAGAGCTTTTTCACAAAATAAATATTATGAAATAATAATAATCCCTGAAGTTGATACAGTGCTTTTTTCCATCTTCGAGACAATCATTTTTTTATTGGCAGACAACAACATAATAATTTGGAGGCTAAACATACGCGCTGTGGAATATAGCTGAAAATGTCAACCAACAGTTTAGACGGCTCACCTTTGAAGAGATTAAAGAGAAACAATATGCCCGTGCTTACTGGCCTTCAGTGGCCAGAGATATACACCCAAACTCGGTTTGAATCCCTCGAGCAGAAAATAGCTCATTAAAACAATTACAAAGCCGTTACCAGCATTTACCGGCACTGAAAAAAGCCGGCGCAGAAAAATATCGGTACCAGCATTGAAATGACACTTAACTCTAAATCCACGGTTAGCCAGGGTTTTAGTGTTCTCATTATATCTAAAATAAAATGTTTTATCAATACAGTGAAGTCCTGGCTTAACTTGTCACTAGCACTTAAGTCATCATTGCTGTCGGTATCCTGGCCACATTTATTTGTGTATTTGTACATTCGCCTATCTCTCCCCTCCCGATTACTCATCACTGAGCCCTTTAATCTTGTAGCGATGAACTGGGTCAACAGAAATGTCCTGCCGCATGTTTCCCTTGGAATCTGCTATAAACAACCCCATCCGCTACAAACCCACTATAAATGATGTTTGTGGCCTGCGGGCTGCTCACTGGTCACCTGACTCACCGTGGCCGGAGAGGCTCTGGACGTGCATGCGCGTTGCGGCACAAACAGCTAATGGGCTTCACTCGGAGGCCCCGCTGTTGTGATTGTCTGTATTTGTATGATTGTGAGTGTCTGTGGGACTCTCTCTGTGTTTGTGTCTGTGTGTGTCTCCCTCTTGTTTGTGAGTGCCTGTGAGCGTATCTCTCTGTGTCTGTGTGTCTCTTTATGTGTTTGTAAGTGTCTGTGTGAGTGTAATTCTCTCTCCTCCATATGTGTGTCTGTTTGTGAGCATCTCTGTGTGTCTCTCCTTTGTCTGTGAGTGTGTATATCTCTGTGTCTATGAGTGTGTGTGTCTCTCTCTGTCTGTGAGAATGTCTCTCTGTGTCTGTGTGTGTGTGTCTCTCTCTGGGTATCTGTGTCTGTGTGTGGTGTCATTCCTGAGAGGCAGGAGGTAGTGAGCTCCTGTAGCCTCACTGGTATCAACACCCCCCACCCACCCCCCCAAAAAAGGGCCATCCAGTTTATGTTAAAAACATAACTAATATGTGATAATTCCTCAATTCCACCAATCAACCTCTTCAATTTGGGGCAAACATTTCTGTACTTTTCTATTTTCCCAGGTGATAAGTTATCAGTTTACTGTATTACAAATACTTTAAAATGTTTTCTTTCCCCTCCTCACCCCACAACACCCCACCCTTGGTTCCCACCTCCAGCTCAGGTGCTCATCCAGCACACTGAATCCTCCCAACACAAAATGTAAATCATATTCTATTGTAAATATTTCAATTATTTTGTCAACATATTGCCTAAAAGGTTTAGTACTGGAGCTGCTCTTTCATACTTACTCATTCAGGCTGTAGTCGCAGTCACATTTCAATCTTTTATTTTCTTTTTGCATGTGCTCGTTTTTGATTCGCAGATCTCCGATACAGTCCAGTCCATAATTGATCAACTCTTTAATGACCTCTGTTGGGTCTGACACTTTTTTCAACTCCACAGAACCAAGCTTAAACTGGGCAGAAGCAAAATAAGACATGATTTTAAAGCAAAGCAGAAAATGTAAATGTAAGGAACTAAGGCCTGACATTTCTCAAGGCCTCAGCCTTCCGGTTATTGTCTTAAAGTTTAAGATTCATCAGAATTTCGGGTCATCCTTTTTAAGTGTTGTGAAAACAAAATGTTTTTGAAATTAAAACTAATACATTTTACAAAATGTTGTATAATGTTCAATTTTAAGATAACGATCTTAAGGCTCAGATCATGAGAAATTTCAGATCCTCATTTTGTAAGCCCCAATGTAATAAGTTTTTCATTCACAAGACTAGCAGGAAGCCATTCAGACTATAAAGCCTGTTCTGCATGTCCCCTTTCTGGCAATGCATTTCTCTCACCATGTTCACTATATTTAAAAACACAACACATTTTTTACAGTACTTAGGTTTTACGTAAGTACTGTAAAATCGCCCACAAAATATACAGTCAATTCACTTTACAATATATTTTGTGAAATGCTTTGAGACATCTCAATGACGTAATAAGACAGTATGTAGAGTCCTGTAGCTCAGTGGTTTGAGCACTCGCCTTGCAAGTGAGAGACTGGTTCGATTCCCAGCACGGCGAAATCTTGGGTAAGTTTCCTTACTCCACACGCCTGATAATAATTCCTCAAGAAAAAAAACATTAATAAATTGGTCACTATTTGTGGGACACTGCTGTGCGCAATTGGCTGCCGCGTTTCGTCCACAAATATATAGTCAATTCACTTTACAGTGTATTCTGTGAAGTGCTTTTGAGACGTCTAGAACATGTGAAAAGCACTATATCAAATACAAGGATTATTATTATCTCAAAATTACACAAGACATACAACATTGTATTAGAAAAATATAATAGAACTTCAAAATAATTTTAAACAGTGGAGTTTATTTGTGCCAGACAACTCTATTAATATTCTATTCAGCTTGAAATGAGACTTCAAATGACTTGCAAGTCAGGAAAGATATAAAGTTTGCTGAATTGTCAAATGTCACAATAATTGATTTCCTTGTAATTCAGTGCAACACAAGCTACTGAACGTCTCACAGAGGACTCACACTGTAGCTCCATAAGCCTGTTCTTTAGACTCTTGAGCAACCACTGAGATCTTACCCTTCAATTATGTATGAATTGCATACTGCAGTTTTGGTTAATATGGTACTTGTCACGGTGATAGGTAATATCACATGTTGCATTTTTCCCTGCAGAGTGAATCTACAAACTGACTGGACCACTTTAATAATAATTATTCTATCTTATCACACTGTTGAGACATCTCAAACCACTTGAGAGTCCTGTAGCTCAGTGGTCAGAGCACTCGCTTTGCAAGCGAGAGACCCGAGTTCAATTCCAGGCAGGGCGAAACCTTGGGCAAGTTTCCTTACTCCACACACCTAATAATAATCCCTCCAAAACAAAAAATAATAAATTGGTCATTTTCAATCTACGACTGTTTGTGGGACATTGCTGTGCGCAATTGGCTGCCGCGTTCGCCCACAAATATGCAGTCAATTCACTTTACAGTATATTCTGTGAAGCGCTTTGGGACATCCTCCTGACGTGAAAAGCGCTATATCAAATGCAAGGATTATTATTATTATTAAGATATTCTACAAGGTGGTTTGATGGTGTGTTTTTTTTGTTGGGGCAAAACATTTACAGTCATAAATATTAAAACCACAGAAGACAACAACTGAATTAATTTATCACAGAAAATGTGTACAGTAGAAGCTACTTGAAAGCTTTTCAACAACAACAACTTGGATTTATATAGTGCCCTCCACACCGAACGGAGTCTCAGAGCACTTCACAGTAACGGATCCCGGGACCGAGCCAGGGGGAGGGGGAGAAAGGTGACCAAAGGCGCGATCGAAAAGAAAAGTCTTCAGCCAATACCTGAATATAGGAAGAGAGAGGGTGAGGCATTGGGAGTGAGGAAGGCAGTTCCACAGCCTCGGGACGTAGTGGCTGAAAGTACGGCCGCCGATGGTGGAGCGGAGGATTCGGGAGACAAGGAGAAGGCCAGACCTGGTGGAGCGCCTGCACACACCCTGATAACTTTGATGGTTTGAAGCATGTCCGCAGTAAATCAACTTGCACCAGCCAGTTCCCCCACAAAAAGAAAAAACGCTGTCTTCCAGTCCAATGGGTCACTGTCACAAACCTTGTTAGATGTGCATAAACAAATCAGGATGTAATGTTGAAGGCGACTTAAATGCCTGTCGTTTTAGCGATAAAATGTAGTTGGTACAGAAGCAAGCAAACCGGCTGAGTGCGTGTGCAGTTAATGGGGCCCACAGTGCAATCATGGGTCTTTTCTGTTTTCCGCACATCTTAATTGACCGCGGTGCTTTACAAAATGGAATTTCTAACCTTATGAGTGGCGAATGTACCAGGTGGCATGAAAGACTTACTGTAGTTAACATGAGGGAAAAGGCTGCCTTCAAAGCAAATTGGTGGTAGTGTGAAAAGGGACAGAGCTGCTGAAGAAGGGAAACAGCACAAAGGTGGAGTGGGAAGGGTGGTCTGGAAATAATGCAGAGAGGGAACAGAGATTAAGAAAGAGGTGCGACAGGAGGGAGTGGGAAAAACAATTTGGAAACAGTATACAGAGGGCAGGGAGGCCAGAAAGAGCAGTGACAGGATGGAGTGGGAAGAATAAACTGGAAACAGAACGTACTAGGAACGGATGGTCAAGAAACCAGGGCTAGGGTGGAGTGCAAAGGACAATCTACAAACTGTGCAAAGGAAAATTCTTGCCCATCAGTACAGCGTCTGCAATAGTAACCAAGTTCTAGCACAAGTTCTAGGGAATTCGTTATTTGAATCCCTGAGGGCAAAGCTTGAGACATTTAGAAAATCATGTCAATCTATTATGACCTTAAAAACATATTAGTATATAATTCTCTAGTGTTTTTTTTAATGTAATTTACATTTAATAGTTATTTTATGAAAAGGAAAAAAATAGTACCCAGAGAACCTTATTTTTTAAAGCAATGTACTGCAGTGTGTTCTCAGCTATCTAGGGCATAATACTGTTTTTGTCCTTCTGTGTACTGAACGAAATTTACGACTAGGAACAAAGTTTTCATACCCATGAACTGTGTGAATGAAACACTCATTCAACACGTCAACCACACAATGGGTTATAGTTATCAACCAAACATAAACAAAATAAAATATTTATTCTGTCATACTACAGTTACTGTTAGAGATCAACATTTTTGTCATTATTCATGTAGTATTAATCTGCTCAGGAGATACAATCAACCGCCTGTTATTCACATAAGAAGTTAAACCAAGGACCTGTCTGCCTATTCAGGTGGACATTAAAAATCCCATGGTGCTACTCGAAAAGAAGTCTTTCTCTGGTGTCCTGCCGACAATGCCAGAGGGAAAGAAATAGTCATTCACTTCATGGCTATTTGTGGGACAAGACACTGCTGTCCTATAGTTCTATATAGAAATATAGTTCAGAAGAATAAATTTACATACATCCTCCCCAGTCTAGCTCCCTGTTTGAAATAATTCCTCTGAACTATAACACTGAGGAAAAAAACACAATTCTACAGTGTTTTGTGAATGAGAACCATGCTCTGTGTAAATCCAAAATTGGATGTTATATATATTATAAGATTGTTATATAGCCAGGAGCAGCCATTTCCATGTAGAGACATTGTTATGAACCTTCAAGCACTTTGATAGCTCCTTTCAATAACTTTTCATTTTGATTGCTATTTTCTCCATAAATATAGATTCATCCTCCGCAGTCTAGCTTCCTGTTTGGAATAATTCCTTTGAGCAATAATACTGAGGAAAAATTCCAAATGTCTACAGTAATTTGTTTACCTAGTTTTCTCTTTTTTGCTCTTAATCATTTTGGCATCTTTTACTTTATTTTCATACATTTACAATGTTTCTTCTGAGTCATTCCGTAGATAGTTTAAAATACGTTGTTTGTTTTTCCTTCGTGTATACTTATACTTTTTGCCCATAAAATATACAGTCAATTCATTTTACAGTATATTCTGTGAAGCGATTTGAGACATCTCGAAGAGTAAAGTTCCACTGTCGCTAATGTGATAACATAATTGACAGAAAGGGACACACAAACAAAAATCACACCAGCCTGATAGTCTCACAGTGTGTGGTGGACGTTTGCAAAAAACAGGACTCAGACACAACCTGTCAAGTAAATATGAATGGAAATTCATTCATGAAAGGTAGGTATTTCACCAGACAATCCAGTTCCTCTGACTAGTTTTAGTGAACTTTCATATCTTAATTAAAACAGAATATTTCATCTGTTTTCCTAGAAAAATGAGTAACCCTGATATAAAAACAGCAAGCATTAATTTACCAAATGTGCAATTTGATCATTGCATATTTATCATAAAGGCCATTTGTCCCATCATGCCCGGTCTATGTATTCAATTCCTCTCCCAGCCCTTTATATTTTGTACCTTTTTATATTTTCCTTTTCAAATATTTTCTAATTCCCTTTTAAAAGCAATTATAGGTTCTGCTTTGACCACAATATGGAATTGTAGGGAATTCCATGTCCTAACAAACCTCTGTGCATTAAATGACCCTCTCCGAACCTCTTCCTTTTGTTTTAGCAATGATCTTAAACTTATGCCCTTTAGTTACCAATTCGCTGAACAGTGGAACTAATTTCTCCCCATTTAGCTTTTGAAAACCATTGCTAATTGTGAACATCTCTGTCGATTGTCTCTCAACCTCTGGTATTCTAGTGGAAACAATCTGGTTTTCTGGTCTCTCCTCATAAGTAAAGCCTCTCATCCCTGTTATCCTTCTATTGGATCTCCTCTATACCCTCTCTATGGCCTTGACATCCTTCTAAAAGTGGAATACCCAGAACTAGACACAATGTAGCCAAAACAATGATTTATAAAGGTGAAGCATTACCTAATTTATTTTCTATGCCTAAGATATCAGTAGCTTTTTTTCCCACAG